CCAGTTGATGACTGCACCCCCTCTTTCTTGTACATACAGTTGTGTTCAAAATAATAGCAGTCAGACATCACTAACCTGATCAATCACTGTTTTTGGTAGAAATGATATTTCTACATGGCAAATAATTTACTAGCAGGTGTAGTAGAGTAATAGAAATCCAACAGACCCAACAGTCATGACATGCATGCTGCTGATTCTGTGTAATTGAATCACTCATTGAAAGGGGCATGTTCAAAATAATAGTAGTGTGGAGTTCTATTAGTGAGGTCATTCATTCTTTGAAAAACAGGTGGCAATTATTGCCCATATTTAAGGAAGGAAGGCAGCAACTGTACATGCTGGTTACAGTGCATTTCTCTTGAAATTCTGAGGAAAATGGGTCATTCCAGACATTGTTCACAAGAACAGCGTACCTTGATTAAAAGTTGATTGGAGAGGGGAAAAACATATAAAGAAGTGCAGAAAATGATAGGCTGCTCAGGTAAAATGATCGCAAATGCTTTAAAATGGCAACCAAAACCTGAAAGACGTGGAAGAAAGCAAAAAACTACCATTCGAATGGATACCTGTGAGTACTGTTACAATTAGAAGACGCCTATGTGAAGCCAAAATGGCAACCAAAACCTGAAAGACGTGGAAGAAAGCAAAAAACTACCATTCGAATGGTACCTGTGAGTATTGTTACAATTAGAAGACGCCTATGTGAAGCCAAGCTATCTGCAAGAAGCCCCCGCAAAGTCCCTCTGTTGAAAAAAAGACATGCTGAAGAGGTTACAATTTGCCAAAGAGCACATTGACTGGCCTAAAGAGAAATGGCGCAACATTTTGTGGACTGATGAAAGTAAGATTGTTCTTTTTGGGTCTAGTGGCCGGAGACAGTTTGTCAGACGACCCCCAAACACTGAATTCAAGCCACAGTACACTGGGAAGACAGTGAAGCATGGTTGCGCAAGCATCATGATATGGGGATGTTTCTCATACTACGGTGTTGGGCCTATTTATCGCATACCAGGGATCATGGATCAGTTTAAATACATCAGAATACTTGAAGAGGTCATGCTGCCTTATGCTGAAGAGGAAACGCCCTTGAAATGGGTGTTCCAACAAGACAACGACCCCAAACACACCAGTAAAAGTGCAACATCTTGGTTCCAGACCAACAAGATTGACGTTATGGAGTGGCCAGCCCAATCCCCGGATCTTAATCCAATAGAAAACTTGTGGGGTGACATCAAAAATGCAGTTTCTGAGGAAAAACCAAGAAATGGAGAAGAACTGTAGAATGTAGTCCAATCATCCTGGGCTGGAATACCTGTTCACAGGTGCCAGAAGTTGGTTGACTCCATGCAACACAGATGTACAGCAGTTCTCAGAAATAGTGCTTATACAACTAAATATTAATTGATTCAAAGGAAAGCAAAATCTTCAAACATTTTTCAGTTTATATAGTGAATGTTTGAGTTTGTAAAGAAGAATACAAACACTGCTATTTTTTTGAACAGTCTAATATTCACTTTTCTTCAATTTTTTTTAGAGGAACAACACAAATTTGATATATTTTTCTTCATGTTTTGATTTGGAATAGAATGTGTAGTGTTCCCAATGCATTTGTGTGTATGGAAATAAAAGCTATTAGAAGGATTTTGAGCTTTATTCACTTTTTTCAACACACTGCTATTATTTTGAACACAACTGTATATAACAGGACCTGAATTTTTCTCATTCCCACAGTATCAAAAACAAAAAAAATTTAATGGGAGCTGCAATAAAGTGTATTTCTTGGTAAATTAAGGAATGGCATTAAAGTAATGCCTTAAATATCCTTCACATGCTTGTCATTTTACATCCAGGCAGATACAGCAACTATACCAATGTTAATGTTTTTTGATGTGCGGTTTGTGTATCTTTTCACAGTGGAGATTCTGGACAGCCGACAGAAGAAGGCAGAGGAGCTAAAGAAGCTCACTGATGTGGCTGTGCGCATGTCTGAAGAGCAGCTGGCAGAGCTCCGTGCTGATATTAAGGTTGGCCTTCCAAATTATGAATATTATCACACACATAAGTAAAATGTCCAACATGTTTAATTTCTTCCATTGTTAGGAAGTTATGGTAAAACCGTAGATGTAAATACGCTTTTCCAAGCTCTGTAAACACAGTAGCAACTGGACTAGTTCTAATGTATTTCAGTCAGTTTATCTACCCTGCTGCTAATGCCCTCCAGTTATTTGTGGTATGACAAAATGTTTTTCATGATAGTTATATTAACGTATATGCCTCCCTCTTTCCTCTTTTGTTCATGCAATTTTGTCGAGTCATTTCCACCTGTAAGTTTGATAACCTATAAACCTTTCCTTCTTGATTTACCTGTGGCATCACTTAGTATCACTTGTCTTGTAGCATTTCGTTAGTGAGCGGAAGTATGATGAGGAACTGGGTCGTGCTGCACGCTTTACAGCTGACTTGGAAACCCTGAAGAAGAGTATAGAGTCTTTTGGACAAGGTTTGTGCCACCTAATCTTGTGTACTTTTGCCTTAAAGTTCTGACAGAATCAACAGTGAAGTATTTCTTGCCTGTTTTCCTCATCTGGGAGAATATTCACGGATGTCTTGGTGTGGGAGATTCTGTAATTTTCTTCTTGCACTCATCAGCGAGCCAAGCATATATTTTATTATTTTGTTTTCATTGTGTTTTATGATCTTGTCATTGGAGTCTTGAGGTTGTTTTGTAAAAACATTTAGTAGACCCCTTAGGTTCAAAATTTAACTCCTGTGGGATCACATCATGCTGACCCCTTTTGAATAGCTATGTAAGTATGTATAGTATAGTTATGTAGAACATTAAAAATTAGTGCCTATACATTCATTGTTAGTGGTTGTACTAAAAAAAAAAAAAAAAAAAAAAAGCATCATTCACTGAAGCCTATTGGCCATTAGTTATGACTACAAGTACAAGTACATCTCTCAAGTTGAGTTGGTTTACTGGCAGGCTTTCACCTCCGCCTATGCACTCCAATGTGCAGTTGTTTTATAATTCTGATCTGAAAATACTAATCATCAGGTGCATGAGCTTGGCAAGATTAAACCATGCAGCTGTTCTTTTCATTGGTACTTGTATTATAAATCTAATACATGGATCTCTTTGTCTGATTGGTGACACAAATTCCTTTACTTTCTGGTTATAATTCCACATACAGGAGACACTAGCAAACAAAAAACTTGTAGGCCTTCACAGGACAACCCCCTCTTTTTCCCAGCATGTCTCCAAAGTCCACATTTTTTACAAAATATTTTTCTTTAAAGATTCTCAAGATCCCTGCTACATTGCTTGAGCTGGTCTCTACATGGCAGGTATGCAAATTGGTCTTTTCATTGACTCTGGAGTGCTATACCCCTGCCCTGCCGAACTGGACATTGTGGGGATAGCCTGGAATGTGAGCTGCTGGCACTGGGTTCTGCTAGTGCCACTTTCCAGAAATCGCAAACTGGTAAAATTTAGCCACAAGTGCTTTCCAGATTAAGAGCTCTGCTGTTTCCTTAGCTTTTTCCCTGTCTGTGAAGACTCACTTTGTGAGTAGGCTTTTCCAGATTAGCACTAGATGTTACTTGGTTAGTGGGACTACTCCTTTTTTTTTTAATGCATTGAGTGCCTCTAGCGCGCTCTGCACTGTTCCGGTGCCTATAGTGCAGCCACTGATGGGCTAGGTATCTACATCTGGAATTTTGCCGTCGGGCTCCTCTGCTCTGTTAATGGAAGATTTCATTGCAGTCATGCAGGATTTCATGGATAAATAGCACTGTGTTTTCTGACTGCAGAGGCTTCAAGAACTCTTGTGGCTTCTGCTGCATAATTTCTGTCTGATCTACCCCTGGCTTCTACAGCTGCCAAGCCTCTATCTAAAGCAGAGTCTCATCAGTGCTTGACAGACAAACCTGCATCTGAGGAATTACAGTATTCTGCAAATGCTCCAAAACCGTTTCTGGCTCTTATGGATGTGGTATGCACCATTTAAAAAATTAAGAACCGGCAAATAGCCTCTATCATCTCTGTCCCCAATCTAGAATCCTTTAGTACTCCTAAGACCACAAAGTCCTTTTCAGTGCACCCACTGTTTATAGTTTTTCCTTTATGCAGACTGTAAACATCCTGACAAAGTTTGTACCTACTAAGCCAGTTTGTGAAGGATTTTGTTCAAAAAGTGGGCTTTCCCCTCTGTAGATCTGGCAATATCCTATCCTAATAAAGCATCTGCTATCACAGTGAAGGATGCATCTGTCTTTAAGGACCCCATCGACAACTGATTGGAGGCCCTTTCTAGAGCCCGATTCCTGGTGAGTCCTGAACTACATTCTGTCTTAGTCAGCATTTGAGAGATCAACATCACAGCTGACCTATCTATTTTAGATCCCAACTAGTAGCATTAGACTAAACTGCGCAAATTACCAGTACCTCTATCATACAAAGCTGCATATATCAAAAAGGATATTCTCTCTTCTAAAACCTTATTAAATAAAATATTGCGCTATGTATCTAGTTGGGATCTGACCACTGACAGTTGATCTATGGGTCATAGAGTATTTGGAACTCACGCCTGCAAACTTTGAGCTACAGTGTGGATGGGTTGGCGGAGGTTTCCCCAGATCATCTCTCCTATAGGAGGGTCCTGTCAACGCACTCTTTGGGCTACTCTCCTCTGCTACCAGTGGCACGAGTACTTGCCTCCTTCAGTAAAAGAAGCCTAGCGCTCAGTTTGGGAAGACCCAGCCCTCAACAGAGTCCAAGGCAAGTCCTTTTCATAACTCCATGACCTCAGACTCCAGGCTTCAAGACCAGAAGTATAGCATCTAGCCTTCCCACAGACCTTGAACTTCCAATTTCCCCAAACCCTTAGCGAAGTCTTCAGCATAAAGGTGCGATCACTGAAGTAGGGGGACTTTTGCAGACACTTGCATAGTCTGTGTCTCGGATGCTTGGGTTGGGGGGTGAATGGTTTCCAGGATGTGCAAGCTAGAATTTTGCTCCCAGATCCCAATTCAAGTTAATCACTTTCAAACTGCCTGTCTTGCTGCACAGATACAATCCCCAGAAAAAGTATTCATAACCCTTGAAATTTTCACATTTTGTTATGTTACAACCAAAAATGTAATTGTATTTTACTGGGATTTTATGTGATAGACCAACACAAAGTGGCACATAATTGTGAAGTGGAAGGAAAATGATAAATGGTTGTCAACATTTTTTACAAATGCATATCTGAAAAATGTGGCGTGCATTTATATTCAGCCCCCTTTACCTAGATAGCCCTAACCAATTGCCTTCAGAAGTCACCTAATTAGTAAATAGAGTCCACCTGTGTGCAATTTAATCTCAGTATAAATACAGCGGTTCTGTGAAGCCCTCAGAGGTTTGTCAGAGAACATTCGTGAACAAACAGCATCATGAAGGCCAAGGAAAACACCAGACAGGTCAGGGATAAAGTTGTGGAGAAGTTTAAAGCAGGGTTTGGTTGTAACAAAATATACAAAGCTTCAAACATCTCACAGAGCACTGTTCAATCCATCATCCGAAAATGGAAAGAGTATGGCACAACTGTAAACCTACCAAGACATGGCCGTCCACCTAAACTGACAGGCCAGGCAAGGAGGGCATTAATCAGAGAAGCAGCCAAGAGACCCATGGTAACTCTGGAGGGTCTGCAGAGATCCACAGCTCAGGTGGGAGAATCTGTCCACAGGACAACTAAAAGTTGTGCACTCCACAAATCTGGCCTTTATGGAAGAGTGGCAAGAAGAAAGCCATAAGAAGTCCCATTCGCAAGAAGCCATGTAGGGGACACAGCAAACATGGAAGAAGCTGCGCTGGTTAGACTAGACCAAAATTTAACTTTTTGGCCTAAAAGCAAAATGTTATGCGCAGTGGAAAACTAACACTGCACATCACGCTGAACACACCATCCCCACCGTGAAACGTGGTGGTAGCATCATGTTGTGGGGGTGCTTTTCTTCAGCAGGAACAGGGAAGCTGGTCAGAGTTGATGGGAGGATGAATGGAGCCAAATACAGGGCAATCTTAGAAGAAAACCTGTTAGAGTCTGCAAAAGACTTGAGACTGGGGCAGAGTTCACCTTCCAGCATGACAATGGCCCTAAACATACAACCAGAGCTACACTGGGATTGTTTAGATCAAAGCATATTCATGTGTTAGAATGGCCCAGACAAAGTCCAGACCTAAATCCAATTGAGAATCTGTGTCAAGACTTGAAAATTGCTGTTCAGACGCTCTGCATCCAATCTGACTATTTTGAAAACAACGGGCAAAAATTTTCACTGTAGATGTGCAAAACTGGTAGAGACATACTCAAAAAGACTTGCACCTGTAATTGCAGCAAAAGGTGGTTCTACAAAGTATTCACTCAGGGAGGGGGGGGTCTGAATACAAATTCACACCACCTTTACAGATATTTATTTGTAAACCATTTTGAAAACCATTTATAATTTTCCTTCCACATCACAATTATGTGCCACTTTGTGTTGGACTAACATATAAAATCCCAGTAATAAACATTTACGTTTTTGGTTGTAACATGACAAAATGTGGAAAATTTCAAGGTGTATGAATACTTTTTAAAGGCACTGTAAGCAGATCTCCATGCAGGTCAACTGGAGCAGGGTGTCGTTTCCTTTTGGCAAAAGGGGGCATCTGCCCCATCCTGGATATCAAAACCCTAATTGTCTTTATTCCATCCCAGAAATTTAGCATGGATTCCACCAGGGTGGTCATGGCTGCCCTACATCAGGAAGACTTCTCTAGCTTCTGTGGACATCAAGGATGTATATTTGTATGTCCACGTTTTTCCAGAGCATCAGCAATTTCTATGCTTTGCTGTGAGTACTCTGCACTTCCAGTTTGTGGCCCTGCCATTTAGCCTATCCTCTGCCGCTTGGGTGTTCACAAAGGTGCTGACCCCTATGCCAGCTTTACTGCACTCTTAAGACATCCCCATAATGGGATAGTTAGATGACCTCCTGCTGAGGGAACAGTTAGCACTGGTTCTGGCTGACAACATAGCTCTGATCTTGCAGAGGTTTGGTTGGATCTTGAACTTGGTGTCTCAGGAATCCTGCCCTAAAGTCAAAAGTCCTTCCTACGCCCGCCTGTCTGAGCAGGTAAGAGGTCTAGGCACCTTGTCTGTGCAAGGGACTTGGATGTCGGAGGATTGCCTCTCTCAACAGTCTGGTGCCACTTAATAACGTTTACCTAAAAACCAATCGCCTAAGAACTGGAAGTGGTTAAAATATAAGAGATGACAAAACATTAAAGTTTAACAATTTATAGATAATATTTGGTTGCTGAATCAGGCGACAATAAACTCAACACTAACCCTTCACTTTTCCATCCAATTTTAAAATAACTTTAAAATAAAGGTTTGGCTATATACTTTAAAGTGTTACTAAAGTCTAACTTTGACATCCCCCAAAGGACCCGCCCAGGCTTGCCACCCC